TTTTGGGCCAAAGATAATTGCAGCGAGGCACCTATGCCCTATACAATCTACTGATACTCCAAGAGAAATAGCTTTAAGATCGCTTGATTCACTCTTGCGATCAATAGGGATGTATTGTACAGAGTATAATCAAGCTATTCCTAAAAGTATAAGAAAGATAATGGACTGGGTAAACCAAACAGGTTTTACAAAAGGACTTCAAGCGGGAGTTTCACTTTTCGGATTTGGTGGTAACATTGGATACGAAGCAGAATTGCCGCCATTGGCAGATATATCATATGAAAAGATTATCGATTTAATCAACACAGTTACAATCGAGGCACTAAAGAATTTCGAGGCCACATCCTTAGTTATTGTCCTTGATAACATAGAAAATTTAGAAGAGGACGATTTAAAATCGACATTAATGACCTTTCGAGATACGCTTTTTTCAATTGACAACCTATATTGGATAATTATTGGGCAAAGTGGTTTAGCTAGCCTAATCCAAACTCTGGACCAACGAGTGTTTCAGCGTATTACTTCTTCAATAGAGCTCTCCGCGATTTCGGCAATGGAGCTTAAAAATGCCATTGACAAACGAGTTACAAAATTCCATAAAGCAGGGCAAGGCCATTCACCTGTTTCCGAATCGATATATCGAAAACTTTATATTTCATCGAATGGGGAAATTCGATTTGTTTTTAAATATTGCTCGGAGATATGTATAGCTTTTGCTCAAACTGTTCGCAAAGAACTTGATAAAATTAAATCAGATAGTAAGGTAGATTGGGAAAGGCACATTGGTGAGCATATGGTTAATAATGAATTTAAAGATACTATGTCCAATATTTATCTAAAGAAAATAGTGCAAAAAGAGTTGGATGGACTAAATTTAAGGTCTAAGGAAAAAGAAATTCTTTCAAAAATTGGCGAGTTAAAGGAAGCTAGATCAAGAGACCACAAAATATTTGGCGTAAAAACTATGCAAGACTTTTCAAGTAATTATTTAGCAAGATTTTCTAATCAAGGTCTTCTGTTAAGGAAGCAGCAAGGGAGAGGGGTCCATTATGAA